CTTCCCAAATCTCAAACATGGAAACCTCACGTGGATTTACCCTTATGTGTTTCCTTTCTTATACCTCTGATTTTTCCAGCACCTTTGGTCCAACCTGATCCTAGACAGCAGGGAGAGAAACAGAAGATGGCAAAAGAATTCCAAAGTGCTTGAATAGTGAGGCTCTGTGATCAGTGCCCAGGAACCCCAGCACCCAGCCCCGGCTCCTTCCTTGCCTGCCTGATTTTTTCCTGCTGTCCAGGATGCTAGGAATTGTCAATCCCAGGATATTTATGTTGTAAATAAAATACAGCTTGCTTTTTCTTTTTTTTTTTTCTTTTTTTTTTTTTTCTTTTTTTTTCAGTTCTGCTTTCTTGTCTCTCTCCTCCTCGTTAATCATCCGAAGACAGCAACAAAGGAAATCCCATCTGTTGCAAGCAATTGCTTTGGGTTTATTTGGTGGCCCAACATTTTAATTAGGTATTGGGACCTACCTCCCCTTCACTGCAGAAATAGAGAGGAAATTAAAATATATTTCACAATCCTGTCTAATGATGGAGAAAAATACACGAGGAAATAGATTAGCTTGAAATTAGAGGTTTCTTTTTGCTGTAAAAGCTCGTTTTTGGATGCCTTTCTTCCAGCTGAGTTGGGAGGGATGTGTCTGACACTGATATTACTGCACAAAAGGTGTGAGAGTGGGGAGATGCAGTAATAGATGTACTGGATGAAATCTATTGTAAATCATTAATAACCATAGCATCAATTATTAATGCACATCCTGGCCTAATGTTCACTCATTCCTTATCCATCTCCAGCATCCTCCAGCCCTTCCAAGCAGCACAGGCCCTCGCTCACCACACTGGATTTTATTGCCCTTTGGGGAGGGGGTTGAGAATGACCCCAGTTCTGGGGTCTGGAAGTAGCACAGTGATGGTTCCATGACACACAGAACTGGGAATAAAGCTCAGGGGTGCTGGCTCCCAACCCTGCCCTTTAATCCATGTTTTCCTCTTTCCTTGCTGCCACACTCAGACACTTCTCCCTTCCTGGCTGTTGTTTCAAAGCATCTGATGGAAAGTTTTGCTCTCCTTATCTTCATTCCCTAATTCTACAGCTCCCCTTTCTGGTCAAGGATTGAACAAGGCCACTCCAAAGGGATTTTGCTCTCCATGTCTCTCCTTTGCAGGAACTGGGGAACACTTCCCTGGGCAGAGCACATCCTCCTAGCCACAGACAGAATCGATTTCCCATTATCCAGAGCCCTTAACGTGGTGGCTCTGAGAACAATTTAGTCTTGGCAGCTGCTCAACAGTTAATGACCGTGGAAATGTCCCTTAAAAACCGGGATTGGGAGTAGTTTCATAAAGCTGCCCCTGGGACTCACTCCGTGCCCATGGACATGGAGGAATTAAGGCAGGAAAAGTAAATTAATGCTGAGAGTAAATCTAATTCCACACGGAGAAAGTGGAGTGAGGAGGGTTTGTCACTGCAATCGGTTCAGATTTCAGAGAATCCCAGAATGGTTTGGGTTGGAGGAGGCTTTAAAGACCATCTCTTATTCCAACCTCCTGCTGTGGGCAGGGAACATTTCCCTGCACTAAAAATCACTAAATTCCTGTAATGTTAAGTGAAAGGTAAGATCACATTCCTGATTTCAGCAGGAGCAGCTCTTCCCAATGCTGCAGGGCCTGGCCTTGATGGGATCCCTAAATTATGGAAGCATAGAAGGAGAAATATAAAAATGTTCACATTTCATGTGGGAGAGCCTAGTACTTCCCAGTAAATAAATATGATGATAAAGTAAATATAATAATAATAATAATAATAATAATAATAATAATAATAATAATAATAATAATAATAATAAATCAAAAGGCTTCAGGAAGTAAATAGATAAATAGGGACATAAAAATCCTTGAAAAGCTTAATAACTTGGATACCTGCAAACCCAGGGTTCAAGACTGTCCTGTCTGGCATATTGTGCTTGATTTAGAAGTTAAGCTGCAAAATAACAGCACTTTAAATTGCTGATCTCTCTAAAACCTCCCTAAGCCGTTTCCTTCCATTTAGAATACATTTAGCAATGAGGATTTCAGCAAAAGTATTTGAGACAAATTCATCCCTCCAGTGACCTTACAGGTTCCAAAAATGGGGTTCATCACCCCTCTGGGATGGCTCAGAGACAGCAAACTGAAGAAATTGATCAAAATTTCTCCTAAAAAAAAGGTGCCTCAGGTGTTTCTTTACCTCCTCTAACTATAAACGTGGCCTTGGTGGGGAAGGCTGTGGGACACACCCAGCGTGGTCCTCGGGAAGCACATCAGGCTCATCCCAGGAGCAAAGCAGGGGGATTTATTGCAGGGATGGAATTGATGCATATTTGCAGGAAGCTAAATTTAGCAGCTGACATAAGTTTCAGAGGTGGAGTCTGTAGCCACGGTGCTGTTTCCGTATAAAGGCTCTGAGATAGTTTGCAGCAATCCTGCAGTGATGTAGCTGAGGGGAAAATATGTGGGGTGGCTAAAAGTGAGTTTTTAAATAAATCCTGAATTTCTGCAAAATGTGCTAACCGGGTGTTGGTAAAATGGGACAATCTTTAATGTGTTGCTCCTTGTAGCTGTAAGGATTGGTGGTTTTCCTTTAGAAAAATTAGGATTTGTGGCATATTTTGACAAGTTGTTTACCTTGAAGCACTGTGGATAACATTTAAATTGTTTGTTAGGATGGTTTTACTCATCTGAAGTGATGAAAATTAGTGGTTACAGCACAACCAAGGAGCACATGTAAAACCTGAGCTGTTTCTTCTGTTTGTTGGAGAATTCAGCCTAAAATTCCTGTAATTTCTTCATCACCTTGTGATCTAAACAGCTTGTTAATCCCAGACAGGATCTGGGTGTTCTTTGGAGTGTTTCCATCCAACTGTTTTAGGAAGCTCTGGCAAAAATTCCACAGGTGTTATTTCCACCTGAGTCCATCCTTAGCGACTCTTCCAGTGCTGTGTTGAGCAAGGAATTTCCATCTCTGCAGGATCCACCCTTCCCAAGGCAGCTCTTGAGAGGATTAGGCTTCAATCAGATTTCTCAGGACAAATTTCACTTTGTGACCTCTGTGTGCCACTTTCTTTTCAGTTGGAGGCCAAAAATCTTCCTTGGTTCTGAGCTGTTGGGAAGTGCTGGGTGCTGCTGCCTTTGTCCTTGTCTTCCAGTCCAGGCTAAAGCATTGCTTGGTACATGATTAAAAAATCAGTTTTATAAAATTTAACCCCTCCCCACAGGTTTGAGACTTTTAATAAATTAAGGATGGGCAGGCAGGACTCTCAGCTCTATCACTGACTCATTCTGTGACCTTCAACACGTCATGTACATACGTGGAAAATGTGAATCACAACCTGAACTCCTTAAACTCTGAGTTACCTGCAGCTCTGCTCCAAGGCTGCTTCCATTTTCTTCTCTTTTTGCTTTAATGAGATTGTTTGAGGGAGCAGGGTGGTGTAATTGTGCTGGACTGGCTTTCAGAAAGAATCTATTGATTAATTTCAGGGTAATTGTCATGAGCAAGGGTGCAGCCTTGCCACTCTAATCTCTGTGTGTAATTTTTTTTATCAAGGTGTTGCTCAGCAGGTAAGAGAGGCTTTCCTGCTTGTTGAATCAGCGGTTACATTTAAGTGTCAAAGGTTAATAAATGTAGGATAACATTTGTTTAATCTGTAGCTACTGATGTTTCCATCAGCTGTGACAGTCAGACCAGGACAAATGTATCTCCCCGAGGTTTTCCGTGGGTTTTAACACCAGCTATCACCCACAGCGGGTAATTCACGGTCCTGTCACAACTCCGTGGGGGAAGAGGAGGGCTCTCAGCTCAGCTCATCACGACATATATTCCTCCAAATTCAGAAAGATTAGAAAAGGAATTAGCGAGGTGATGTTCCCCTGAAACATTACCCTCCCTTAAGCATCAAACCACATGCAAATGAACGTGCAAACGTCGGCCCAAACGGATGAGGAAGCTCGAGGAATTTTGGTTTTGGCCATGTATGGTAACACTGAGGGCTGTGGGCTCTGCTCGGGTGTTGTTCACCCGCCCCTCGGGCTCCCTGAGGCCGCAGTGGCCCCGAGTGTGGCGGTGTCACCTGTGAGCAGCCAGGTGTGTGTGTGTGCAAAGTGCTCGCCTCACCTGTCAGAACAGCACAGATACAAACCCTACACCTCAAAGTGCAGCGTCCATAAATTTACTACAAGTGCAATGAGGAGAGCATCTGCCCTGGGTGTCTCGTTGAAGTGTGGTTCTCAGCTGGGGTTGAGCTCTGCAGTCTTTAGCAGGGGTTTTTGTCACCGTCCTTTTTTCACCATAGCCGCTGTGATTCGGTGTGACAGCGTGAGGTGACGCGGTTGTTTTCTTGAGAAGTTGCTGGTTCTCCTCAGTGTTGCCTCTGAGGACAGCAGGCTCATGTCACCCCTCAGGGCAGACACGGCCGATCCCTCAGGGAGGACATGACCGGTCCCTCAGGGAGAACACAATCAGTCCCTCAGGGACGATATTATCAGTCTCTCAGGGAAGACACAATCGGTCCCTCAGGGAGGACATGACCGGTCCCTTAGGGATGAGATGATCTATGCCTCAGGGAGGACATGATCAATCTCTCAGGGAGATCCATGCCTCAGGGATGACATGATCAATCCCTCAGGGCAGACACGGCCGATCTCTCAGGCGTAAGATGACTGATCCCCAGGGGTGACATGACGGGTCCCTCAGAGCGGACAGGACTGGCCCACAGGGAGGACATGGCCGGTCCCTCAGGGCGGAGGTCCCTCACGACCTCCCGCCTCCCACCCGCCGCTGAGGGGTGGCGGGCGGGGCCCGAGAGCGCGCGACCGCGCGTGGTGCCGAGCGCCGCGCGGCCATTGGCTGACAGAGCTGTCGCTCAAAGCTTCGCCCCGCCCCCACAGGGGTGAGGCGGGGGTGGGCGGTGCCTGAAGGGAGGGGGCGTATCCTGTTGTGGGCGTGGTCTCTTAGGGGGCGGGCCCCGCGGCCGCGCTGCCCCGCCCCACCCCGCGGCGCTCAGTCGGGCGGCGGCGGCGGGCGGAGGAGGAGGCGGAGGCGGCGGCTCCGCCGGGCTGAGGAGCGGACGCGGGAGGCGGCTCGGGATCGCGGTGCGGTTCGGGGGCGGTGAGGGCGAGCAGGGAGAACTGGAGAGCACCGGAGAGCGGGGATGCGGCTGGGCGGGAGGCGCGGTGCCCTCCGGAGGGCGCCGGGCAGGGCGGGGGTCCGGCCGGGCGGGCCCTTCCCGCGCGGGGCCGCCGAGCCCTCCGTGAGGCGGCGGCCGCTGTCAGCGCGGGGCCCGCGGCGGCAGCGCCCTCCCCACACCGCCTCGGCCCCGGCCGCTCCCCGCTCCCTCCTTATTAGGCAGCGGCGCGGGGTCGCCGCCGCATCCGCATCCGGCCGGGGCCGCCGGGCAGGGCAAGCCCGGGGCGGGGCGGCAGAGCCGGGCGCTCCCGCCGCGCACCTGATGCCGCGGCGGGGACAGCGCTGGGGGGCTTTTGTTCTGCATGTTTTCCTTTCATTTTTTTTTTTATTTTTTTCACCCCCCGACTTCTTTTCCGCCCGGCGATGCAGCAGCCGCTCGGTGGCACCGGCGTGTGCCGCCCCCGGAGCGCCCGTCCCCGCCGTGCACCATGGCAGAGGACAAAAGATGAGCGCTCTGATGGGGGTTTAGTTTGGGTTTATTTTCCGGAGGCTCCTGTAGGGCAGGTCCTTGTCACGCCGTTATTAGGGGCTCTTTCGAGGCTGTGCAGGAGATGTGTGGAATCCTGGGCTGTGTGACATGTCATGGAATCACCAGGGTATCACAGAACGGTTTGGGTTGGAAAGAACCTTAAGGACCATCTCATCCTATCCCTTTGCAGTGGGCAGATGTCCCTAGGCTTTGTTTTGTCTATGCAGGAAGTCACATTGTTTAACTGTGATATGCCAAAGGCTGGAATTTAAATGTTAGTCCTTACCTGTGCTTTATGAAATTCCCACCGATTCCATTAACAGCACGAAGGAAGGTCTTGGACACGTGGGCAGGTGTGTGACACCACCGCACAGAGGTTCAGCTGTAGGACATTGTGATGCCATAATTGCCTGACTGCACAGGAGACAGGTCTGAAAAAAGAAAAAAATGAAAAAAGGCAGTGAAAGGTGCCAGGAAAGAAAAGTAAACCCGATGGAAGCAGTTTTATTGTTGAAGATAAGTGATATGCTGGGGTTTTTTTAGCAGCTGGAGTTGGTCTGAGCACGTCTGTTCGTGCAGATGTGCGTGGGGATTACTGGGAGCAAAACCAAAGACGGTGGCAAAATCAGAGAGGGATGTTCTGAACACAGCGGGCTGCAGTTGATTTTTCGGTCCGCCGCTGAATTTCCCGATTTTGTTTTAATTTTAGGCCAGGCTGTTCCCAAATTACCTGGTGCCATCCTCTCCGTCTGTGTGCCTCCGTGGCAGGCACGAGGGGAGCTCTGGAGTGTGGGAAAATGGTGTGAAGTGGCACAGCGTGTCCTGGGAGAAGCGTGTTTGGATGTGGGGAAAGCAGCGGGTGTTGTGTGCGGGAGGCAGGAGAGGGTTTATTCCATTTTCATTTGAATAACGAGCATTGAATCATCTTTTCTGCTCAAGGGGGTTGAAAAATCCAGATGGCTGTGTGCTTGCAGGAAGGTTTTATTGCAGCTAATAGTGGTGTTTGCTAAGGACTGTGTACACAAAGGTAGAAGATCAAATACTTTTGTGGCAATGCCTGTTTATTTTGGATATATGTGTTTTTCTGTGTTTTCAGTAGCCCTAGTAAGACCTGACACACTCGGGGACACATCAGGCAGCATTTGCTCGGTGTTTGTTTCATTACAGCACTTCATAATAGTAATTTTTCAATGGTCACTTGTAGCCTTTTATCCAGATTGCTTTAATCAGCATTTGTGTTCTCTGTTGGCATTGCTCTGTCTTCTCCCGAGCTGTCTTTTCAAATATCATTGGATTTTTTCAAGTGAAATCTTCATGCTTATTGCATCTGTCACTTCTGGGATTCACTCCAAGCAAAAGGCAGGGATTCAGTTTAATGGCAATGAGGAGGAATGTGCAGAAGGGGGAAATATCAGCTTTTCCCTGGGTGATGCAGCACAGGGTGCCGAGCTCTGCCCTCGGTGACATCGTGGTGGCCACGTCCAGCATTCGACTTTAACGAGGGCTTTGTATAATGGCTCATTAAACCAAAATGTTGTGTTGTGATGTGGAGGGAATTTATGGTCCTGGCTCTCATCTGGTGATCGATTCTGAGGAATATCCCTGCGATGCCAGCTTCCTATTCTGAAGACACGAGCTAAACACTTCCTGGCCTGGGTTTGCAGCTCGGTGAGGTCATCAGTGCACCACTCCCAGGGCCAGGAATGTCCTCTTGGGCAAGCTCACAGGCACATTTTCACTTGACTTTTAAAGTCTGGGTTTGTTTGTTTTGATTTTGTTTTACTGAGGCATTTGTGATAATCTGAGCCCTTCTCCGAGGATGTGTTGGAACAGAAACTCACCGAGGATTTGAAGTGCCCCAGTTTAAGCCTTTGCAGGGCATAGGAACAAGAATTAAATGTCTGTGCTCTCTTCTAGCTCGCTCCCTGTAGTCTCCCCCATTTAATATTTCTGGGCTGGTGTATTCTGGTGGGTAACTCTGAAATCGGTATCATTAGAAACTGCTTAGAGCTTCAGTTTAGGCAGCTCCTGGAGCCTTGTGTGAAGAGTCAGGCAGCTGGTGGCTTGGGGCTGACAGGATGGGAACTGCTGAGTTTTTGTCACATTCTGTACAGTTGCAGGTGGTGGTGAACAGCAAGTTAAAATGAAGCAGAAAAGGGTTTTAGGCTTAGCTGGGTGACTCAGGAAAGCAGCAATGAAATTCCATTTTTCTGGATGTGTTGGCTTCACCAGTGTGGTTGGGAATTGTTTACTGGGCCCTTTCTTTTTATCTGTTAATAGGATTGCTTTGTTCTGCTTTCCCTCCTGTGAGTAACCATGCAAAAAAATGGATTATTTGTTTCTTTTTGAGGTTATAATTGTTCAGTACATGACTTTTTGTGGCTTTTCTCATCTCAAACCACACATAGGCATGTGAAATACCAGCGTGACACAGAACTGCTCAGCTGCCCCCAGGTTCCACTGGCAGCTTTGCAGGGCTTGTCCTTGGAGGAAAAAAAATTGTCTGGAGAGGATCCTAATGGAATATTAGTTGTATCACCAGCCATTAGTTGTGTTCGTGGGGTTGTGTAGGGAATATAAATCCAATCAGGATTAATGGCTGGAGATAATGATGTAGCTGGAAAGTAGAAGGTGGCTGTGGGGCAAGTGGATAATTTTACTTTACCCCCCTCCCATGAAATTCCTGATGCCAGTAAGACAGGGGGGGATCCCTTGGAGCAGACACCTTCCTAAGGAGTCACAAAGTGCTACTCAAATGGAAGAGGATTTTGTGATGGAACAGCCTGAAAACTTTAAAATCCTGCTCTGTAGGTCAGGAACTTGACAGAGAAATACTGAAAATGGCATTTACTGCTGCCTGCAAAGGGAAAACCTGTGGTTTTTGAAGGCTGCTGATGTGACAAAGTGACAAAACATGGCCTTTTGGACCATTTCTCCTCTGTGCTGATGACTTACAGAGGGACTCAAGGCAGAATCAGCTGCACTAGGGAAAGAACAATTTCTTCAGCATGACCACTTTGCTTCTTCAACACCACAGGCTTTGTCTCAGTCCATGTTTTGTTGGTGATAACAATAAGTGATCTCTAATTTGCTTTTTGCTGAGCCTGTGATGACGTTTGATGGCTCTTGGTGGGAGAAGTTGTAATGACTCTGACATTGAGCTGGGCCTCTCAGCCCAGCATAATTAGGTTTGTCTTGTTTTCCTTTTTTAATAATTGAATTTGGAAGAGCAATGGAAATAAACCAGTGGTGGGATCTGACTTAAAGTGATTAAGGCTCAGCCTGATGCTGAGATGAGCTCACAGCTCTCCTTGGAGTGCTGCTGAGCTGTGCTTGAGGCCAAATGTTCCCCTTAGGAAGGACCAGGGTTTCCCTGTGGTTTTTCCAGATTTTGGCTGCCATCTCTGTAGGAACGAGCACATAGGTGTAATAATTCTTCTGAGCTGAATATTAAGGCAGCCATTTCTGCATTTATAGCAGATGTGTCTGAGCAGGATTTCCTAAAACTCCATGGGAATGGTGTGCCTGAAGCTACTCCTTGTTTGCATCCCTGTGTGAACCTGGACAGTGCATTGCACCTGCAGTTCCTGGTTTAAGTAATCCCTGGGAAATGGACTTCAAATCACTCAATTCTGAGTATTTGGAAATAGGGGAACTTCCCCTCCCTCCCTCTGGTTCTGCATACAGTTGCCATAGAGACCGTGTTCCGGAGTCCTTGAAAATCCATTGTTTCTCCCAAATAAACATAAAAATCTGCAGCATTAAAGCAGCACATTTTGCAGTGTCCCATTCCTGAGCATTCCTTCATCAGGAACTCTCTTGACAGGACAAGGAGCAATGGACTCAAACTGAAAGAGGGGAATTTTGACTTAGATTTAAGGAAGAATCTCTTCCCTGTGAGAGTGGCAAAGCCCTGGCACAGGGTGCCCAGGGAAGCTGTGGCTGCTCCATCCCTGGAAGTGTCCAAGGCCAGGTTGGATGAGGTTTGGAGCACCCTGGGATAGTGGAAGGTGTCCCTGACCATGGCAGGGGTGGAATGGGATGAGCTTTAAGGTCCCTGCTCACCCAAACCAGTGTGTGAACAGGGACTTGACATCCTGCAGTGTGCCAGGTCTGGAAGCTGGACAAACTGATAATGGGTGTAATTAGCAGCTCCAGGGATTAGCAGGCAGTAACAAATTCAATCTGTAGTAAGCAGCATGTCCCTTGGGAGCTGGGCAAACTGGCCATGCTGGGCAGATGATGGCTTGATAGGGAAGATTGTCATCAGCAAAGGTTCAATGCTCAGGCACCTGCTCAGGGCTGGAATTACCTCCTGGAGTTGCATTTTTTTTCCCATTTTCACTTTAAATACTTAAAAAGCCCTTATGGTCTGTTGTTTCCTGCTGGAATCTGGATCCCCCAGCTGACTCAGGGTGTCTACTTGGCATTTCCTTG